TGTACTCTCTCATATATGGATTTTAGACATAGATCTGGGGAGTGCCAGCCTACAATCCTATGGCCAGAGAGTCTGGGAAACAGAAACTTCATTTAGTGGCTGATCGAAGAAGAGGCAGACTCCCTTGCTTAAGTACTGAGCTGAACTCAAGAAAGCCAGTAACAGAGAGGGAGGACTGATGATCAAAGAGATTAAGACTGGGCTGGTTTAACCCCCAGAAACAGCTGACCAGACAAAGGTTTACTCTTGAATCCCAGGCATCAGCCTGGGAATCCAGCATGGGACTGATCAAGACACCCTGAATGTGAGTGTCAGTGAGGAGGCCTAGGGAATCTATTGAGCCTTGGGCAGCAGATCAGTACCCATCCCGAGTATACACATGGACTTTGGACTCCAATAGAACAATGTGAGGTGCACTCTCACCCTGAACTCTTGGGGAAGGGTCTAGGCCCTGCCCTATATGAAATGACAGACTATGGACACCCGCATGGAGGGCCTCACCCTCCCTGGGGGAATGAGGGGATAACGGGGTGGGGGTTGGGGGGGAGGGCACGGGAGGAGGGGAGGGAAAGGGAGAGGGACCTGGAACTGACTTGTGAAGCAACCTTGTTTCTTATCTAAATTTAAACTGGAAAAAAAATAAATAGTTTGCTTTACATGCCAATCCCAGTTCCCTCTCCCTCCCCCAGCTTCACCCCCCACCATCCCCCCCCAGTCTCCCACCCTATCCCCACTTCCTTCCACATAGGGATATCCAGAGTCTGTCACTTCGCTCAGGGCAGAGTCCAGGCACTCCCCTAAGAGTCCAGGCTGAGAGATCATCCCTCTTTGTGTTATGGACACACGAAGTCCATTTGTATGCCAGGGATAAACACTGATCCACTGTCCAGGACCCCATAGGTTGCTCAGGCCTCCTCACTGACTCTCACACTCAGGTGGTCTGGATCAGTCCCATGCTGGCCTCCCAGTTGTCGGTCTGGGGTCCAAGAGCTCCCCCTTGTTCAGATCAGCTGTGTCTACTGCTTTTGCCAGTCCATTCTTTGCCAATTTGCTCATCGCAAACAAAAATAACCTTAGATTTGTATCAATATACAAAAATCCATACCAATCTAAAATATTTGAGACTCGTGGTTGTTCAAAAGTAGAGTCAATAATCCACCCCTTTATCCCATCATGTCTATACTATATCTCCCCTTTCTCCCCTCAGAATTAGATCCCTGATTCTAATCTCCTTTGTTTAGCTTTCTCCCTGACCATGACCAGTAACAATTTGTAACCAACCACCTTAAATGGTGAAAACATCCATATCCCATCAAATGACCAAAATCACCCATCACACATTTTGTGAATATGGGCATCATGTTCTCTAGACTGCTTCCCTTGTCTGAGGATGATGGCAGCTTTGGGGGACCCTGAGAAATTAGGATGATTGTCAAGTCCTGGGAGAGCTAGCCATAACATTTGTTGTTCAGTTTCTGTGCAATGGGAAAGCACAAGGCTTATCTGCAGTCCTGTCTAGAATAGTCTGTGAGTTTGTAACCTTGAAACTGTTCTGGATGCAGAACTCTAAGGAAACTGCAGTAGAGGAACTCTGAGAGGCTGGATTACATGGGGCTTCCATTTTCAGTGTCTGGTTTCCTTGCTTGAAAACACACAATGTTTCAAAGGTAACATACATATCTTTATCAACACGGTACAGTATGGACACAGTATTGCACAGTAGCCAATGATGATTTTTTTGTTTTATGTTTAAGCAGGTAAAATATATGTCACCTGTCTTGCAGTTTTTCTAGGTTTATTTCTTTATGTTTGTAGCCAGGATTTTCAAGGGGTCTTCCCCAATCAAACCAGATCTCTATCAACCTTGAATGGATCCACAACCTTTTGTTTTCTATGGAAACAAAAGCAAAACCTCTGCCCCTAACCCAATACATTTTCTAACTTCCACTTAAGGCATTCCTAAAGTAGCTAGGCTGGTTTAATTCAGCAGTCCCCTTTATAACCCCATGTCTCTCAGCAGTTGTCATTCATTGATCGGCATTCAAAAATTTCAAAATCAGCAAGGCACCTTACAGGATCCACACTCCCTGTGCAGTTTCCATCTTTACACAGCTTGTCTCTTTTATATTATTTTATTCTTTCTTTAATGACTTTATTTTATGTTTTATAAACTTTTTATGATTGTCAATACCCATTTTCTTTTCTGTTTTAAGCCTATGCACATTTTTAAAAAACACACTGTGACCTATTTAGATGTTTTTTTCCATCTGGATCTGTCTTTACTGAGTACCTACAGCATTCTCTGACTGCATGAAACAAATCTTAAACTGCCATGTCAGCTGCCACATGGCTCATATTAGTGCATGGAACTGGCGCATGACACTAGTGGCTGGCTCAAACCCACAGGCAGCGGCTGGTAGCCTTGCCTGTGTGTGCCAAGCCCTGGCCCACCTGAGAGACTGCAAGACTAGAAAGCCACATCTGGCTCCTTCTCTGGATCTTTTCTTAGCTTTCTCAGGCCCTTTGTTTGGATATTTGAATTCTCACATTGGATACCATATGTAATCAGACTTTCCTTTGGGCTTCCAGCTCACAAAAATGGCACTGAGACTTCATATTAATTATGAAAGCTTGGTCTTAGCATAGGCTTGTTTCTAATTAATCTTTCTAACTTGGATTAACCCATTTCTATTCATCTACATGCTGTCACATGGCTCATGACTTTTACCTCTCCTCCTGCAAGTTCTGCCTTCTCTCTGCCTCCTCTGGAGTCTCCCCTATGCCTAGATTCATCTCCTCTTCTTTTATCTCTGCCCAGAAGTCCTGCCTAACCTCTTCCTGCCTAGCTATTGGTCATCCAGCTCTTTATTAAACCAATCAGAAAGCACCTTGGCAAAGTCACATCTTTAATGGGGGTTGTCCTTCTGTAAATATGCTTCTCCTATTGGTTAACGAATTAAACATTGTTGGCCAAGAAAGCAGGAAGATAGGCAAGACTAGGAGATGTAACATGTAGTTTTTCGCCAGCCTCCTGGGCCCTGCCACAGTTCCAGTCCCCAAATAACACACAAGACACTATATTAACTATGAAGCTGTTGGCCGTTTGCTTGGTTTCTTGCTGGCTAGCTCTGACTTAAGTATTTAACCCATAATTGTTAATCTAAGTATTTCTCTTACCAGAGAAAAGGGTCCAGACCTCTTACTCCTCTGGCGGCCTACATTGTGTCTGACTCTGCCTCTCTTTCCCAGAATCCTCCTTGATTCCTAGTCCTACCTATCTTGCTTTCCCATTGGCCAACAGTGCTTTATTCAACAACCAATAAGACAGACAGATTTACCAAATGACATTTCCCATCAAGGAGAAGAGGAGATTTCTGGGAAAGATAGGCAGAGAACAGTCGCCATGTGAGCTGCCAAAGGAGTTAGAGGTCCAGACCCTTCTCCGATAAAATACGGCCATGTAGAAATACTTAGATTAATAGAAATAGGTTAATAATTAAGACAGAGCTAGCCAATAAGAAGGCCTAGTCATTGGCCAACAGTTCTATACTTAATATAAGTCTCTGCATGTTTATTTGTGGTTCAAGGGTGGCAGAAGCCTGCCAGGTGAAGAATCTCCGGTAACACATCTTCATAGTGTATAAAAAGATTATCCCACAACACATGAGAATGTGGGGGAGGTGAGTTGCATATTAAAGTACTATCTAAGCGTCCTAAATGTCTTATGGTCATTTTGTAATGCAAATATATTTCATGTTCATCAAGTGTTCACACTTTCTAAAGGTCAAAGTTCAAAGTCTCTTTAGACTCAAGGAAATCATTTAGCCTGTGTAAAATAGAATTTAAAAGTTTACACACTCCAAAGATAAAATGTCATGGAATTGACATTCTCACCCAAAATAGATCAATCTTTTAATGAGATGGCTTAGTGGATAAAGGCACTCATTGTTAACCTGATGACCTGCATTTGATCTTTGGGACTCGTATAGTCGAAGGAGAGACTGACTCCAGTAAGTTGTTCTCTGACCTCTGCACATACCCACACACAAATAAATCAATTTAATAAAAGTTTTAACTTTCTTACATGTGTTGAGTGTATCCTGCCCACCTTACCCCTCTCCCCCCACTTTCTCCCTTTGTTCCCCTAGACAACTTTATTTCTACTTTCACTTAACATATGCATACATGATTTATGTGACTATATAGGAACCACAGATGGGGTAACATACCTGGTATTTGTCTTTCTGAGACTGGCTAGTTTAATGTGATTATCTCTAATTGTATCCATTTTCCTTCGAATTGTGTTGACTTTATTCTTCTTTGTGACTGAGAAAAATTCTATTTTGTTGTTTTGGCCAGATTTTTTTATGTCAATTTGACACAAGCTAGGGTAATTTGGAAAGAAAGAATCTTAACTGAGAAAATGCTTCCATCGGATTGGCTTGTAGGCAAGTCTGTAGGACATTTTTATTGTGGTTGATGTGGGAGAGCCCATAATGCTATTTATGCTATACATCTTGGGATGTATAAGAAAGCAGGGTGAGTAGGCCATGGATAGCAATCCAGTAAAGAGCATTCCCCCACGGACTTTGTATCAATTCCTGCCTTGAGTTCTTGCCCTTACTTCCTTTAAAGTTGTAAGATGGAATCAACCCTGACCTCCCCGAATTACCTTTGGTCATGGTATTTATTACAGCAATAGAAACCCTTCTTTATTCTTCCTTTGTTGGTCACCAGTGTGAATTCCACTATTATGAATTCCACACCACCACCAGTGGAAGAGAAAGTCCATCCCCAAACCATTGATTGACTGGTGGATTAATTCCCTGATGCTAGCAACAAATTTGTACAGGGGAGACAGATGGAAGATGAATGGATGGAAGGAAAACATGCAGGGATGGGATAGTGTAGAGCCTCTGGTACTGTGGAGCTAAACATGGCAGTGCAGGCCCTCTAATATCAGCAAAGAAGACAGAATTTTAAAGATAAGCACACACCTCTGAGGATGTCTCACACTTAGTCATTGTATTAAGTACAAACAAATGCCGGAACAACAACCAAGTGGGGTCTGGAGATAATTCGAGGGACAGCAGTAGTGGACCAGCCCCTGAGAAGATGAGGGACCTTACCAAAGACAATATTGTTAACAGGAAAAATGAATCGGCATGAGAGTAGATAAAGTCTGGTCACCTGTCAGGGAGGTTGAAGCTTCGAGGGCTCATGGGAGAACCTGAACATCAGTTGTTGGGGCAGGATACTGAGGACTTCTTGCAAACCCAGAATTTCTTCGTTTTGCAGTTGTCTTCACTCCAGCCATGGTCTGTCAGTTCTGCACAGTCCTTCTCTGAATGGCCTTCATTTTTCCATAAGGTCCAATATTTTTTAAAGCTGCAAAGCCCATGCACACTGTGAACATGTGTCCCTCCCCTCATCTATAAACAGTTTCAAGCTCCTGGAAACTAGATATCTTCATATTTTCCCTGAGCACTTATGGCAGACATATTTTTGTTTTAGTCTGGTAACTTGCTTAGTGCCTCGTCCTTGACCCCAGAGTCTTCTGCCTAGAGAGAAGTCCTGCTGAAGGCGTGGCGTTTAGACACCAATTAGCTAGTTGAGACTTCACCTCCCAACCGGATTATCAGGCTTTTGTACTCTGGCTGCAATGCATCCACTCTAACCACACCGGGCAGGCGGCAGATAGCTGGCAATAGAACCCACTGAAATGATTAAATGGGCCACCAAACCCTGTTTCACTGAATCAATCGAATCCCGCCTGTACAGACCATGACAAAGGCTCTTGGCCACATCTCCCCTCCCTCTACTCATGTCATGGTTGAGCCTAGCCATTACACAGTGGTCACTCAAGGTGTGGTGTGTACCCTTTCCTGGGAAACTGGGCATGTAAAATCTTTTCAGTAGCAAGCATCTCCAGAGCTATTGGCTTAATCATATAGCATATGCTTGTTTTAGAGAGAGAGAGAGAGAGAGAGAGAGAGAGAGAGAGAGAGAGAGAGTGTGTGTGTGTGTGTGTGTGTGTGAGCATTATTTGAATCCCCTATAGTTGGCATGAAGGTGGCGGTGAACTGCCTGACTTGGCTACTGGGAACATAACTCATTCCTTTGCAGGAAACATGCATGCTCTTAATTACTGAGCCATCTCTCCAACCCTTTAGATTCTTTGTAACTATATACTATATTTCAGTTTCCCAGACTCTAAGCTCCTCCTGCATTTGTACTACTGGAATTTCAAAGCATTTGCCATCTTACCTGAACTCAGACATGAATCCCCCTTTCCACTTAGTAAGTGACATTTTTTTATGTCTAGGGGATAAAAACCCCAGGCAAAGATAATTCACAGTAGTGTTTCAGACACCAGCCCATTCACCCTCATTTTGCCCTATGATTTTTAATCTACCTTGGTGACAAAGAAGAACCATTAACCCACTGCCATGAACCTTCATGTTTCATGTCTGACAGCCCAATCCAGAGTCGGCCTTTAATCTTATACATCTTCAGTAGGAAGTCCTGAAAAGGGAGAAGAGTAGTTGAGATACAGCTGAGTATTTGATTTTCCACCCAGTGTCCCTATAAAGTCTAGACGGGAAGACCCGTTTGCAGTCAGACCCTCTAGGGCACCACACTATGCTCAGGAGATCTGAGTCCTCCAATCTCTGTGCCCTATAAGTAAATGACTTGCACAGAGAAGTGCACAGTTGGAACAGTTGGCGCACACTTATTTTATTGCACGTTCCTCTGGCTTGTGAGTTCCGGGCATGCCCACTTTGATTTAATCATGACTAACTGAATGTGTGAACTGTTCTAGCAATTGGTCAATGGCACAAAGCAGACTTTTCTCTTCAGAAAGCAACCTATCACTAGGCATTCTTTATATTTTCAAGTCTTCTCCCAAATCTTACACACATGATTTAAACTTGTTTTGTGTGTGTGTGTGTGTGTATGTTATTTGTGGCACCCCAATTCCTAACCCTCTCCTCTTCCATTTTCCCTTGAAAACTTATATGTCCGTGTACCTTCAACTGCTTATCATGTAATAAAATGCAGGCTCCCCATCTGTGTTACATTCCCTCCCTCCAAGGCTCAGGAATCATCAAGAAGAGGGAAAAAGATTGTTAGAGCCAGAGGAAGTGGACATCTGAGGTGAAATGAACAGGGCAATTGCACACTTGAACTCACAGTGGCTGCACAAGATCAAGCCAGCCAAACTTTCGACCTAGACATGAGAGGGGCTCATGGAGTCCCACCCTTAGCTGAAGAATATTGAAAGCTGATGGCTTTTAAGGAGAGAAAGTCCGTGTTTTCAGACATGTAGCTCCTGAGTGGCTGGTTACTCACGTACCAGTAGATAGTCTTATACACACGCACATGTAGGCAGTACTAAGGGGACTCCATGAGTTTAGAAAGAGAAAGTCTGTGAAGTTGGAAGGAAAAATTATTGGGACAATAAGAAAAGAATTGGAGGGGGAATAATAAGAATAGGTTTAGTCAGAAACATGATATGATGAATGAAATCTGTAACAACAAAAAGATGTATATCCCACTTGAGAATCAGGCATACCTGTTCCTCATAACTTTCAATTATGATTAGTTGTGCCCCTACTTCCTGGCAAGCAATGAGGGAATCAGTCCAGTTACGTTTAGTTATGGAGAAGAAGTAGCAGTTTCCACGGAAGAAGATCCAGTCCCAGGAGCAGGGTCGGCACAGGAGGTCTGTTGGGGGAGGCCAGTTAGAATAAACCCATACTTGGTTGCCTATCCCCTATCTGCTTAGCCTTCCAGCCCTCTGGAGTCAGGAACTCCCAAGTATCACAGTAGAGAGACACCACCCTCTCCACTGCCCAAATTCTTCCTCATCCTAAAAGAACCCAGGAGTCCTGGTCCTATCTCATTCACAGTATGAGAAGTAGGAGCTAAGATCTCAGAACAGACCCCAGGAAACTGGCATAATTGGATCCTTATTATATATACTTTCTTGTGTGCACTAGAAACCAGTTTTGGTGTTATCTGTGTTCCCAATTGACAAGAATATTAAGGCTTAAAAGGGTCAAACTCAACCAAAGTGTCCCCATATGGATACCCATTAAGACCCGTGGACAGCCAGCTCCTGATCACACACCGACTCTAAGCTTCAGCTGCATGAGCTCCTGGTAGATCTCCGCCTGATCCTGGGTGCAAGGAACCTTTGGAGCTGTGGTCAAGAAAAAAAAGAAGAAACTACAACCATTAAATACCTACAGTGTGCCATGGTCTACACTGCTTATGTAGGAACAGTGTCTGAGAGCCATCTATTGTTATATAACACTTGAGGATGAGGAATACTGGGCTGGAGAGATGACTTAGTTGGTAACATGCTTGTCCTATAAGCTTGGGGGTCTGAATGCAATCTCCCAGAACCCTGTTCTTTTTCTAAATTTTTTTGGTTAATTAATGTTTTACTTGTTTATTTTACACACCAACCACAGTTTCCCATCCCTCCTCTCCTCCTTTTCCCTCCTCCCAACTCCCATCTATCCCCCTCCCTATCTACTCCCCTTTCATCTCCATTCAGATAGGGGCAGGCCTCCCATGGGCTTGAACAAAGCATGACTCATCAAGTTTAGGTAGGACTGAACTCCTCCCACTGCATAAACGCTGAGCCAGCATGGGAAACAGGTTCCCAAAAGTCAGCTAAGTGCCAGGAACAGGTCCTGATCTCGATTCTGGGAGACCAAGCTACACAACTGTCACACATGTCGAGAGGGCCTAGGTCAGTCCCATGCAGCCTCCCCAGTTGTTCAGAACCCACATTCTAAAATCCAGGCATATTTGTTGGTATGCATTGGTAGTCACAGTTCTGGAGATTCAAGAACAGGCAGATGCCTTGGGTTCACTGGCCAGACAGACCAGCTTATTTGATGACCTTAGAACCAATAATAGGCTGTTTCTCATAAAACAAGGTGAGCAGAGTCTGAGGAATGGCCACTGAGGTTGTCCCTCAGCAACTACATACATGCATATACATGTGTATGTTCATCCAGGGAGATACATGTACATGTAAACATACACACACATCACAGACAAACACAATACACCACAAACACACACACACACACACACACACACACACACCAGAGAGAGGGAGAGTGTCTCACCACTCAGAAAAGACTGAATTGCAAGGTCAAGTAGAGTGAAGACCCTCTCCTATTCCTCCTCCAATTTTCCCTGCTGTGTAGGTTAGAGGAGTCCTGAGTTATGCTTAGAAGTCACAGAATGATCAGGTTCTAGCTTTGGTCTTATCTCCCTCCTAGATCTGGTTGCACTGGCCAAGAGACCAGCAATAAGATCCCAAGTACTCAGAGTCATCTGACCTTGGAGAAGAAATGCCACAAAGACCGCAGAGAAGAGGATGAGGAAAAGCAGCTGCAGCACCAGGGGGACCAGGCCATGTCTTGAACACCCTGTGGAAGATAAGGATGGGGTTTCAGCACACAGGTGCCCTGCATCAGCTGGGCCCAGGGACACACAAGCCACCAGCATACTCCTGCCCAGACACACGTTAGGGCTCAAGCTTCTGGGTTTCCATAGCCACAAGTCTAGGCCTCAACTTTCCAGGACCCATGAGTACAGAATTCCATCTTCCATTTCACAGGAACAAATATCTAGGAAGCATCCATGGCTCCTCAGGCCCTCTCTGTGCAGTGACTACAGAACTATTTGACCCAGAAGCAACTTGGAACCCAGAGCATGACACTGGGCTCATGCTATAATCATTAGCTTCTCATCTGCTCAAATCATGGAGAAAAAATAACAGCCTTGTCAGGTTGCTTTTGATTGCTCACTAGAAATTGATGGTAAGACCAATGACTGAAGAGACCACACAGTTTAGTCACAGGACATGGAAAAATCAAATTGACAGTGGTCTGGAAAGCTCTTCCCTGCTGACTAGTTTCTATAGTCCTGGAAGGTGCTGTATAGACTTCTGGGGTAGAAAAGTCACCAACAGTCTCATTCAGCTATGAACCCTGAGAAGTACAGTGATGACCAATGTGGCAGGATATGGCCACTGCTGCAAAAGTGACAGGAATATTTTACAGGTAACCAATCACTTTCTAGTTAAATTTAAGGCCTATGCCACAAAATGGAATTTATGACTGGCCATGCAAATCTAGCCAAGACTGTGTACCTCAGTAATCTGAGGCCCTAGGGGTGACCAAATGGACATAGTATCAAACTGTCTTCTAAATACTCTGTACTCAATAGATTAGTGTATCTACCAGTCCTCATCAGAGGGATTTCTTTGGGTGACAGACTCATAACTAGTTAAAGTGCAGAAAATGCGAGTCTATGGAGTGCTCAGCTATAAATGGGGCGTCTATATCACAATCCTCCCCACAAGGCAGAGAGAGATCAGGGGACTGGGTGAGATAGAATCTTCTGGATGTGACAGGACCCGAACTCATGAACTCACAGAAGCTGAGGTCTCCTTCACAAGATGGACACAAGATCAAGCCAGTCAACATTCCAGCATGAATAGGGGAGGCACTCAGGAGCCTACACCCTTAGCTGAGGAGCTATGGACAGTTGATGGCTGCTGGGGCATGGAGAGTTAGTTTTCTTCAGGGTCCAGTATATGGCCTCAAACTACCACTAATTGTTCCCTGTGGGTGTTTTTTAAAAGGGACATGAAAGTGGAGGGGTTATTAGAGGATCCAGAAGAAGTGGAGGGGGATGGAGGGATGGATACGATCAAAATTCTGCACATGTATGAAATTATCAAAGAACTGATAAAAATATGTTTTTTTAAAAAGAGCCTTGGCATGCTAAAACAGAGATAATTCCCTCTTGAGCTTTGAAAGTTCCAGTGAAGCTTCACCTAGGGACCTAAACTGCTTCAGCCTCACTTCCTTGGAGCCCTCGTTGTGACATCATGATCCCAATTCCTGTTAGAGCCATGTGTTTATTTTCCTCCCTGTATCCCTCACTTCCTGAATTCACTCCCACTCAGAAAGGGTAAGGGGGAAGCGGCATGGCTGGGGTGGGCAAGTGTAGGGCTAGTTTAACCGTCCTGGACCCTGCGTGGTTTGAGCTACACACACCCATTGTCAGACAAAGCAGCACTTTTCTCTGCTTTAGCAGCTGCCCACTTATGGTTGGCTTGTGGTTAAACACATTCTAGAATACACATTGGAACTAGCAAGAAGTAAGACAATTCAGCCTGAGCCCCTTTTAGATGCATGTACAGTAAGGCAACCTCTGCCCTCTGAGCACACTTTTAGGAGAAAATTCTATTTTTCACTTTATTCCTAGGCATGAGAGGGCTTAGACCATAGCATCTATGAATCTACAGTCATTTTATATATGACCCATGCTTGTGCAAAAGGCCCATTTCCATTGGCCAATTGGGAGTTTAACAAATCAGGAACAAATTCAAACCCTGTCCCTATATTGTAGAACGCAGTTCACTGAGCAAAACAGCAACCATGCTAGTAAGTCCCCTCGGGAGGCAGAGGCAGGTAAAGCTCTGTGACTGCAAGACCAGTCTGGTCTGTATAGTGAGTTCCAGGATAACCAGGGCAACATAGAGAGACCTTGTTTAAAAAAAAAACAAAGCAAACAAAACACACCCACAACAAACCACTGTCACCATCTTCATCAAATCAGTTGTACCTATTATAAGATTCTATCAAGATGGGGGTTGTTGACCACTGACATTCTCTCATGGGAGATAAGACAGGTCATTGGACTCTCACCCAAGATTCCAGCAGCTCCTCCCAGCCAGCCATGAAATTCTAACCCAATTTCACACAGCCTTGGGGGCTCAGGACTTTCTTGGGTGTCTAGACTGAGTGAGGTTGATTGAGGAGGGCTCCATCTATGCTGCTATGGAAAAGCTGCCAACCAGGCTATAGGAAGACTATCAATGTATTTGGCTGGGGTCACGCATGCTCTGTAAGTAAGACCAACAAACTCTGGATTCCAAGAGTAAGTTTTAGTGGAACTGTTCTTTGGGTTTTAGTTATGACCTTATGAGGATGGAGTTTTTGTATCCCAGGGAAGGAGTTCTCACAACACCTTGGGATCTATCTCCTTCTCAGCCAGGATGCATAAATGGAAACCCAGAGATGTAACCCAGGGGTTTTGAGTAATCTCCCTGAAGCTCACCAATCTTTTGTACTGTATTTTCCTTGTACTTCCCTTTCCGAATAGTTTTTTTTTTACTGCTTTTTGCATGCAATTCTTCAATACTTTCAACAAGATGCCTAGGACCTAGGTTAGATCCAGTCTAAGTCCAGTGGTGGTGGCATGCACCTTTAATCCCAGAACTCAGGAGGCAGAGGCAGTGGGTCTCTGTGAGTTCAAGGCTAGCCTGGTCTACAGAGTGAGTTCCAGGACAGCCAGGACCATACAAAGAAACTCTGTCTTGAAAATCAAACCAAACCAAAACAAAACAAAAAAGGAAAAAAATCAGTCTAGGCAATAGGTAACACAAATACTGGACCAATGTTACAAAAGAGACTCAAGTATGCTTTAGAAAACCATGTACTAGATGTTTGGGGATTTCTAGTGAGACATTTTGAAATATTTAAATATAGTTTTGATTTGTATTTACATGAAGGGATAAAGAATATATATGTTTTATTCAACCATGCAGATTTTCAGGGAAATGGGAATAATTGGAAATTATCATTTTAAGCAAAATAAGGCAGACTGAGAGAAATAAGAATTTTAGATTTTCTCTCATATATCTATCCATCTGTGTGCTATCTGTCTACCTATTTATCTATCTGTCCATCTGTCTGTTAGTCAATCTATCTGTCTATATGTTCTGTTACCTGCCTGTATATTATCTATCTATCTGAAAATCTGATAGTAGGAGGGGAAATTATATGCCTTTAGTCCCAGTATTCAGGAGGCAGAAGCAGGTAGATCTCTGAGTTCAAGGCTAGCCTGGTCTCAAAAAACAAAAAAAAATATTGGAGGAAGAGGATGACAAGAAAGGATGATGGAAACAACGACAAAGAACACAAGAAAGGAAAATTTCGCACGGTATGTTCTTCTACATGGAATATATAAATGTACATAATATAAAACAGAAATGAAGCTATTGTGGAGGCATATATTCTTTAGTATGTAGGGAAACAGAGAGAGTGACAAGATGGCAAATATTAGAAAAAATCCAATACCATACCTATAGAAAAAGCCATAAAGAAATTCCCTATATTATACATTTTATAAAACAATTTATAAAAAGTGAAAAGAACTTCAGAGTTAAGACCCTCCCTTGACAGGGAACCCATAGAAAACTGCACTACTACCAGCCACTCCCCACCTCAAGGAGAATACAAGAATCTTGGTTCCATCTATTACAAATGGGGAAAGCAAAGGCTTTATAACTCTGAAGAAATCCAGAAGATTTTCCCTGTGTATGGATGCCTGTGAACATGCGTCATCCTCAATGTTACCCAGTGTCTCTATCTCACAGTTGAAACAAGTAAAGCACATTGGAGGCCAGAGGTGAAAGTGACCACACCACAGAGTTGTCTGCACTGGAGGCCAGGGACACAAGTGACCACACCACAGAGACATCAACAGGCACTGAATTGGTTTTCAGTCACTTACCAATTTCAGCTTTCACTTCTGTTATTTCATTATAGATGTGCTGGTTATCTTGGGAACAGGACATATCAACAACTATGCCAAGAAATGAAGAAGTTATGCTTATCTCTGGAGAACTGGCAATGAAAATACAATGAATACACAGTAGAATTTTATTCAGTTGTAAAGAAAGATGAAGTTGAGGTGAATGTTAGGGTCCCCAGCTAGAGGACTTTGCTTTCTAATCATTTGGGCCATGGAACATACCCCACACCCACCCTCCAATGTCCCCAGAGACCCAGGAGCAGCCTTCCACACCCCAGGCCATGCCCCAGGGCATCTATGACCTTGGCTCCACCCCCATATGTAGAGGTGAGTGTCTGGGTCCCCAGCTGGAAGACCCTACTATTTAGGCCCTAGCTCCTAGAGACGCATCCTGCATCTCCCACATACCCAGATGAAGCCCCAGAGGCATGGAAGCAGCCTCCTGATACCCCATACCATCCCCCATGGCATCTGCGACCATTAGGGCCTCGGTCCCACACCCACTTGAAGAGGTGAGTGTCTGGGTATCCAGCTGGAGGACCCAGCTCTCCAGGCCATAATCACATGGGGCACATCCCATGTCCCACCCCTGCCCACTGAAGGCCCTAACTCCCAGAGACATATCTCCACCCAAAGAAGCTAGAAGTATCTCCATGGTATCTGTGACCACTGGAGTCTTGGCATTGCCCACACCTGGAAGAGCCTCAGAGCTGTATCATCATCCAGCAGAGGCACTGAACTGCGTTTGAACCTGTAGGAAAAGTGATCATGTAAGTCACATGCCCTACCTACACTAATTGGAGGAAGAGGGACCCTCGAATCACAGACTGACCAGCACTCACTAGAGGAAGAGATGGGTAGACAACAGTGTAAGAATACATTCAACAACTCAAAGAGCAACATAACATTACCAGAGACTAGGGGTTCCACACGAGCAAGTCCTGAACATCCCAATGCAGATGAAGCAGAAGAAAACAACCTTAAAATAACTTTATTAAGAAGATTGAGGCCCTTAAAGAAGAAATGATAAACACCCTTAAAGAAATGGAGGAAAAGACAAACAAACAAATAAAAAACCAGATGTCAACAAATCCCTTAAAGAAAGCAAGGAAGCCCAAGAACAAACAATCAAACAGGTAAAGGAAACAGTTCACACATTTCAAGACTTGAAAACTGAAATAGAGGCAATAAAGAAAGCACAAACGGAGGAAATACTTGAAATGGAAAATCTGGGTAAATGATCAGAAACTACAGATGCAAGCATAACCAACAGAATAAAAGACATAGAAGAGAGAATCTCCGGTGTTGAAGATACAATAGAGGAAATAGAGTCATTGATCAAAGAAAATAGTAAATTCAATACATTCTTAACACAAAATATCCAGGAAATCAGGGACACAATGAAAATACCAAACCTAAGAAAACTAGGCATAGAAGAAGGTGAAGAAGCCCAGCTCTAAGTCACAGAAACCATATAGCCAGTAACAGAGAGGGAGGACTGATGACCAAAGGGATTAAGACTGGGCTGGTTTAACCCCCAGAAACAGCTGACCTGACAAAGGTTAACTCTTGAATCCCAGGCATCAGCCTGGGAATCCAGCATGGGACTGATCAAGACCCCCCTGAATGTGAGTGTCAGTGAGGAGGCCTAGGTAATCTATTGAGCCTTGGGCAGCAGATCAGTACCCATCCCGAGTATACACATGGACTTTGGACTCCCATAGAACAATGTGAGGTGCACTCTCACCCTGAACTCTTGGGGAAGGGTCTAGGCCCTGCCCTATATGAAATGACAGACTATGGACACCCGCATGGAGGGCCTCACCCTCCCTGGGGAAATGAGGGGATAATTGGGGGGGTTGGGGGGAGGGCACGGGAGGAGGGGAGGGAAAGGGAGAGGGACCTGGAACTGACTTGTGAAGCAACCTTGCTTCTTATCTAAATTTAAACTGAAAAATAAATAAATAAAATAAAACAAATAAAAATAAAAAATTAAACAAAATCATAGAAGAAAACTTTCCCAACCTAAAGAAGGACATGCCTATGAAAGTATAAGAAACTTACAGAACACCAAATAGACTGGACCAAAAAAAGTTCCCTTGTCACATAAAAATCAAAACACTAAATATAGAGAATAAAGAAAGAATATTAAGAGCAGCAAAGGAAAAAGGCCAAGTAACATGTTGAGGCAGACCTATCAGAATTATACCTGACTTCTCAATGGAGACTCTGGTCCTGGATAGAACTTCTACAGACACTAATGGACCACAGATGCCAGCCCAGACTACTATATCCAGCAAAGTTTTCAATCACTATAGATGGAGAAAACAAGATATTCCATGGCAAAACCAGATTTAAGCAATAAATGTCTACAAATCCAGAAAGTACTGGAAAGAAAGTAGGAAGGAAAACTCTGTCCCAAGAAGTTAACTACACCCACAAAAACATAGGCAATAGATAATTCCACACTAACAAAACCCGAAAAAGGGGAAACACATACACAATACCACCACCACCAACAAAACCAAAACAACAGGAATAAATAATTGCTGGTCATTAATATCTCTTAATATTAATGGTCTCAACTCAACTATAAAAAGACAGAGGCTAACAAAATGGATACAAAGACAGAAGCCATCCTTCTGCTGAATAAAAGAAATACACCTTAACTTCAAAGACAGACATTATTTCAGAGGAAAGGGTTGGGAAAAGATTTTCCACACAAATGGACCTAAGAAACAAGCTGGTGTAGCTATCCTAGTATCTAACAAAATAGACTTCACACTAAAAGATAAAGGATATTTCATATTTGTCACAGGAAAATTCCATCAAGAGGAATTCCCAATTCTAGACATCTACACCCCAAATACAAGGGCATTCTCATTTTTTGGTTTTTATAAATTTTATTTAAATTAGAAACAATTTTATTTTACATATCAATCCCAGGTCCCTCTCCCTCCCATCCTCCCATGTCCCCCACCGACCTCCCATCCCATCCCCTATCCACTCCCCAGCATGAAGGATCATCAAAATCTGTCAAGTTGTTTGGGGAAGGGCCTAGCCCCCTGTCCCCCCCCCATGTATCTAAGTTAAGAGAGTATCTCTCCTTGGGAAATGGGCTCCCAAAGTCTGTTTGTGCACTAGGGATACATCCTGGTTTCACTACCAGAGCCTAGTGTTCTGACACCCACATTCAGGGGGCCTGGTTTGGTCCCATGTTGGCTTCCCAGCTGTCAGACTGGGGTGCATGAGCTCCCACTTTCTCAGTTCAGTTGTTTCTGTGGGTTTGACTCCTTTGTTTGTCACTCCTCCCTCTCTGAAACTGGATTCCAGGAGGTTGGCTCAGTGCTTAGCTGTGGATCTCTGCTTCTGCTTCCATCAGCTACTGGATGAAGGTTCTAGGATAGCATTTAAGGTAGTCATCATTCTCACTATAGGGGAAGGGCATTTAAGGTAACCTCTCCACTATTGCTTAGGTTCCTAGTTGGAGTCATCCTTGTGGATCTCTGTAGAATTCCCTAGTACCAGATTTCTCTTTAAACCTACAGTGGCTCCCTCCACTGATGTGTGTCTTTTCTTGCTCTCCTCTATTACTCTCCCCACTCAATCTTCCTGATCCCTCATGTTCTTCTCATCCCCTCTTCTCCCCCCCTCTTTCTCCTACTTCCCTCCCCTCCTTCCTCCCCCATGCTCCAAATTTGTTTAGGGGCTCTTGTCCCTTTCTGCTTCCCTGGGGAACGCATGTGTCTCTCTTAGGGTCCTCCTTGTTTTCTAGTTTATCTGGAGCTGTGGATTGTAAGCTGGTAATCCTTTGTTCCATGTCTAATACCCATATATGAGAGAGTACATACCATGTTTCTCTTTCTATGACTGGGTTACTTCATTTAGGATGGTTTCCTTTAGTTCCATCCATTTGCCTGCAAATTTCAAGATTCTATTGTTTTTTTCCGCGACTAGTACTCCATTGTGTAAATGTACCACATTGTCTGTATCCATTTTTCAGTTGAGGGGCATCTAGGTTGCTTCCAGATTCTGGCTATTACAAATAATGCTGCTATGAACATAGTTGAACAGATGTCCTTGTTGTATGAATGTGCATCCTTTGGGTATGTGCCTAAGAGTGGAATTGCTGGATCTTGAGGTACACTGGTTCCCGTTTTCCAGAGAAACCACCATATTGATTTTCAAAGTGGCTGTACAAGTTTGCTCTCCTACAAGCAATGGAGAAGCGATCCCCTTTCTCTACACCTTCTCCAGCAAAAACTGTCATTGGTGCTTTTGATTTTAACCATTCTGATGGGTATAAGATGATCTCTCAGAGTTGTTTTGGTTTGCATTTCCCTGATGGCTATGGATGTTGAGGAATTTCTTAAGTGTCTTTCAGCCATTTTAGATTTCCCTATTAAGAATTCTATATTTAGCTCTGTTCCCCACTTTTTAATTGAATTATTTGGTGATTTTGTGACTAGTTTCTTGAGTTCTTTGTATATTTTGGAAATCAGCCCTCTGTCTGATGTGGGGTTGGTGAAGATCTTTTCCCATTTTGTCTTGTTGACTATGTCTTTTTGCCTTACAGAAGCTTCTCAGTTTCAGGAGGTCCCATTTATTAATTGTCAATCTAAGTGTCTGTGTTACTGGTGTTATGTTCAGAAAGTGGTCTCCTGAGGCACCCTCATTTGTAAAAGAAACATTAGTAAAGTTTAAATCACACATCAAACCAGACAAAATAATAGTGGGAAACTTCAACACCCCACTCTCACCACTGGATACGACTGCCAGAGAGAAACTTGACAGAATAATAAAACTCAAAGAAGGGTTAATACCAATAACCCTCAAATTGTTCCCCACAATAGAAACAGAAGGGACATTGCCAAATTCTTTTTATGAGACTACAATTACCTTGGTACCCAAACCACACAAAGACGCAAGTAAGAAAGAGAATTACAGTTCAATCTCCCTCATGAACATTGATGCAAAAATATTCAATAAAATGCTGGCAAACAGAATCCCAAGAACATATTAGGAAAATCAACCACCATGATCAAGTAGGCTTCATCCCAGACATGCAAGGATGGTTCAACATATGAAAATC